TTCCTCCCGCAGACAGCGATCTTACCATTAGTTGATTTAGTGCTAACACACGGCGGCAACAATACTGTGACCGAGACTTTCTTTTACGGCAAACCAATGCTTGTGTTACCACTATTTGGTGATCAGTACGACAACGCACAGCGCCTGCAGGAGACGGGTCTCGGCTTAAGACTCAATCCCTACCATTGCACTGAAGAGGAATTGTTGACATCAATTGACAAATTGGTTAACGATTCAGATTTGGCTCAAAGAATGAAATCAATTGGCGATAGGATTAGGGAAAGCAATGATAAGGATGTGATCGCCGATTGTATTGAAGATATTGTTTATAAAAAATAATTAATTATATATTGTTTTAATGTGGTATTTAAAAGTAATCTTGACTATTTGATGAAAGTTTATTATTACAATCATAGTAAACCACTAATACTTTGTTAAATAAAATTATAATCTTGCAAAGTTGATAAATTGTTTAAAAATATACAGTATTTTTATTGTTATGAAATACAAAACTATATCTAAACTTTATTTGCCTTAATTTAGTTAGCCTTACAATTTAATCGTATATTTTGCTTTGAAATGCTTATAAATCTAAAATATATTTTTTTTATTTACAATTAATTAATGTCTATAATTAAAAGTTTGTAAAAATAACATTTAAAATAATTATTTTGACGTAAGACAGTTGCACTTTATTTAGAATATTAAATTGTAAAATAATATTCATTTAATATATTAAGTGCATTTTGCACATAAAGTTCTAGTATCTACATTGCTTATTTAGTACAAGTTTTGATAAATATTGCTTAATTGCCTAAAATATTATAATTACACCATTCAAACACAATGCTATAACTGATGCCATATTATTTCAATTGTTATCAATAAATTAATGTTTATAATAGATTATTTAATTCGAAACATTATTGTTGCAAAATTTTTATCTTAAGTGTTTTTAACCACAATTCATTTTTAATGCAATTCATACAATTAATATGATCTATGAAATCAATGCCATTTCAATAAGCTATTGTCAATACAATTGGTATTCATAAATATCTTTAATGAGATTATACTTAAGTGATATAACCATGGGTAATTCTATGAAAATTACTTTATAAAACTACATAATTTTAAAATTACTTATTCAGACTTATAGTTAACATTTCGTTTATCACTCAAACCTTGTTCACTGATTGCGAAGACGTGTGCAATAATTATCTGGCAATATATAAGTTGCATGAAATGTCAGTATTTGTCTCATAGAAAATAATGTCTCACATCTCCACCCGAGCCATACATTGCGGCCAATCGGCGGCCCAGTGGTCACACCGCGCGACTGTACCTCCTATTGTCAACTCAACCACATTTGAGCTCTCAATACAACAAGTTTTTGATGAGAACTTTGTGGGAAATGTATGTTTTTACTCTCTCCCTCTCTCTCTCTCTCTCTCTCATTCTCTCTCTCTCTTTCTCTCTCTCTCTCTCTCTCTCCAAGTTTTGTCATTGACTCTCACATGCCTTAGGACTTGATGTACTCCCGTATGGGAAACCCGACCCGCAGTTCGTTAAACACAGCGTTGGCCGCACTGGAGAGCGCCCGACACGCGCTGGCCTTTGGCTCCGGTATGGCTGCGATCGTCACGTGCGGACACCTGCTATCGGCGGGCGATCACGTGCTCTCGTGCGACGACATATACGGCGGCACTAATTTATATTTTACCCAATGCTTAAAACCAATGGGTTTTGACGTGACTTATACTGACTTTACCGACATGTCGGCAGTGGCCGCCAATATCCGGCCCAACACACGGCTACTGTGGGTCGAGAGTCCCTCCAATCCGCTCATGAAGTTTGTGGACCTGAAAGCCCTGTGCGAACTCAGGGATCGATCGGCTCCGGAGGCCATTATCGCTGTGGACAACACTTTAATGAGTCCACTATTTCAACGCCCGTTAGACTCCGGCGCCGATCTGTCCGTACATTCAGTTACCAAATATATCAACGGTTTGTTATCTAATACTCTATGTTATGTCACACATCACTCACTCTGACACCCCTTACCCTCAATACTACACTACAGGCCATACAGACGTAACAATGGGCGCCGTTATGACCAATCGGGAGGATCTCTACTCGAGACTGGAGTTTCTTCAAAACGGTAAGTCTTATTATCATTGAAAGACTAATCCTATTGTTATTTAATCATCACTTTATACTCAAAGCCTTGGGAACCGTTAGCTCTCCGTTTGACTGTTTTCTCGCCAATCGAGGTCTCAAGACTCTGAGCGCCCGAATGGCTGTCCACCAAACCAACGGTCTATCCGTCGCCCGATTCCTAGAGTCACATCCGATGATCAGTCAAGTTCTGCATCCGGGCCTCGAGTCTCACCCGCAGTACGAGTTGGCCCGCAGACAGTGCCGGGGCTTTAGTGGAATGGTATGTATGAGTGGTGTTAATAGTATATATGCGATCAGTTCTTAAACGTAGGTCTTTTTCAAAATAGATATCATTCCGTTTGAAGGGATCGGTCGCTCAGTCAAAGACATTCCTCCAGAGTCTCAAAGTGGTGAAACACGCGGTCAGTTTGGGTGGTGTAGAGTCCAGTGTTGAAGTGCCGGCCCGTATGTCGCACCGGGATATGACCCACGAGGAGCGTCGGGCGCTGGGAATTGACGATCAGTTGATCCGGATGTCGGTCGGCATCGAAGACGTTGAGGATCTGATCCAAGACTTAGGATCAGCCCTGAAATGCGCTCAACAGTCGCTCGACAGTGACGTAAAGTTATAATATTATTTACTAATAATTAATATGTTAATTGTAACTATTTTAATAAATGTTATGATTTAACATGATAATTCTAAAGTAGATAAAGTATAAAATAAATAATTAATTCAAATACAATAGATATTAAATTTTTTAATAACTTGCTTATAAGTCAGTATAATAAAAACAAGACCTAGTTTTATACAAATGACATCAACATAGTTATAGAAACTGATATATTCACACATTAATTAATTAGTAATTAATTTAATTTATAATTAATTTGATAATTTTAAAAATGTAATCTACACTAATGAGTTAAAATTGGCGGCACAACTCGTACTGTACACCGGTATGCAGCATAAAAATATATTATATTTAGTGTTGCAATATAAATCAGACATACTGTACTTTTTATAGTGTTAACATATGCATTGGGAATACAGGATAAGCGCAATCTAGTGTTTGTAATGTTTTAAAGAATCAACATTCCAATAAATTCCATTTTATTTTTAGATCTACAGTATATCAATTTATTCTTATGACTATTCTTATATCTATTAATAGACTCACAAAAAATTGTAATTATTTTATCACTCATGAAAAACATAAAAATTTAATGTTATATTTATAGTTATTCTTATTATACTTATGATAGTATTAAGTTTATTAAAAATTCTATTGAAATTTTATACTAATGTTAAAGCAATGACCATGGTTATATTTTTCTAATATTTCCTGCTATCTAATTAAGTGTATGTTAATTGTGTAGTTAATAATGTTTAATTGTTGGCCACATCTCACGATATGTCAGTATATTATAATTTCTAACGTGGACATTATTTGCTAATCAATAAGCAAACACCAAGAAATAATATACAAACATGTAAGTTCCTACATTATTTACCGTATTTGTCAATTCAGTAACCTTGCTAAAAATGGGAAAATAAAATCATTTCCAATGGAAAATTTATTGAACAAAACTGGAATTCTATATTGTAAATAATTATCAAAATTATAATTTATTAATAATTAATAATAATAATTATTATTATTAGTATTATTATTTTAAAATTAAATAAATGTGGTTAATATATAGATTTAATATTATCTTAAACTATATGGCGAAACAATATGACTATAAAAATACCTTAAATACCGGTATTTTGGAACCACTTTTGGAAATTATGTTCAAACAGATTAGACTCGTTTCTGTTTTATACTCTTAAAGTTTTTAACACAATCTAGGTAAAATTATTTTACTAAAATATCATCTGGTTAATGTTAACCACTATTATTTTACATTATAAATAATATTTTAAGATTTGTCTCTATTTATGAACTCAAATACAAAGTTTACAAAAAGGTTTATTTAATAACATTTTCTACATAGTTCATTAAATGAACTAAATTTTCGTTTTTTACACCGCATTAGATAATGTAATGTGCATTACTATAACGTATTACATAATAACTAAATAAATTGCATAATTAATTAGTGATTGACAATTAATAAACATAAAATAGACATTAAATGTACACTTGATAAAAGTTCAGAGCAAAATTGTAATAATTTTGTTACCTTGAAAATTAATTATAAATACAAATCATGTGCATTTTAGTAGGAAAATCACTTATATATACTTTCCGTTGATTGATTTTATCATTATAAAATTTATAAATATTTATAGATTAATCTCGATTGATTTTCATCAGCCAAACACATGCTCTCCATATGTAATATATTATAAAATTACTATATATTTCTTGACACAGAAAAGTGCTGTGAAATCAAATGGAAAAATAAAGTGAAAAATTTCATCACATTTTTAACCAAAAATTTTTATCACAAAAACTCAACATTTTTTTTATTTGATTTCAAAGTCTAGTTTAATATTTATTTTAGTTTTCATATAAAACAACTCATTGAAGTCCTGGTGTCTGAGTGTCTATCCATACACAGTATATCTCATTAGTAAAAATCATGTCAGGCTTTTCCACCCGAACCATACATTGCGGTCAATCGCCGGACCAGTGGACACACCGGTCGCTCATTCCTCCTATTGTCAACTCAACCACTTTTGAGCTTTCAGTCCAACAACTGTTTGATCCCAAGTTTGCCGGAAATGTATGTTATATTTTGTAACAATTTTTTAAGTGTCAATTCATTTTCACATGTGCTCTCTCTCTCTCTCTCTCTCTCTCTCTCTCTCTCT